GGCCTAATACATTGAACTGTTATATTTTTACCAATTTAAGCTTCTAAACTGTTCATCACATTTAATAAAAGAAACACTAGTGTTAGTTGGATATCATCAAGAATATCAAACATTATGCTATAGTACGTGTTCTGTTTGTAATTCACCAAACTCATCTACAATATATATTACTGCTTCTGGTATCCTGTGTACCCTGATTAAAAAAAATCACAATTTTTTATTGAATACTTAAAATGGTTGCAGCTGAACATATTAATAATATGTAAACTTGTGGGTTAAGATGTATAAGTTTATATACCATCACAATAATTGTAAGGTATGTTGCATGTTATTCAAACACGTAAAGTATTTTAGGTTATTGTTTGTTTGTTTTGGATTTCGCGCAAATGTACACGAGGGCTATCTGCGCTAGCCGTCCCTAATTTAGCAGTGTAAGACTAGAGGGAAGGCAGCTAGTCATCACCACCCACCGCCAACTCTTGGGCTACTCTTTTACCAACAAATAGTGGGATTGACCGTCACATTATAACTCCCCCACGGCTGAAAGGGCAAGCATGTTTGGTGTGATGGGGATTCGAACCCGCGACTCTCTAATTGCGAGTCGAGCGCCCTAACCAGCTGGCCATGCCGGGCCTTTTAGGTTATTAGTGATCAGTAAAGGACTACACGTTTAAACCAAACAAACCTGCTTATATTCCACCACTATATGAGGCCTACTTTATTTATTTGTTTCCAAGCAGCTCTGATGAGATGTGAATTCATTGAAACAGCGAGAGTAGTGAATCAAAGAATCAGTTAAGCCAATGATTCATCTTTTATTCACCGAAATTCGCGTTTTGATGAAGAAAAGAAATTAACAAATAAATATGTAAGCTTGTCAAAAATAATTCTCTTGCAATACTTTATTTTTTATCTTAGATTGTAAGTGATGCTTACCGATATAATGTCCATATCCAATGAAACTTTAAAAACTCCACTGAATTTGCTGTAGCATGAAAAGGAAATACAGTACTATGACACTAACTTCTTTTACATGGATTGTGAAAATTACCGGGTCTCTTGAAACGAACAGCAACAGGAAACTATAGAAAGTAAGACAATGTTCCACAAAATTAACCTCTTGTTTTTTGTTAAGTTGAACTAACTTTGGATACTAGAAATCAAACCTAACGTTCACTACAATTCCTGTGTATAAGAATAATTATGTAAACAATTCATGTAACATTGTGGCGTTCTGTAACAATCATGACAGAAGCACTGGCCAAATGAGAGGGTAGATAAGTGAATCTTGTCTAATTAAAAGGGTGGACATTTGTAAATATTCTACACGAAAGCCCTTAGGGGCTATTTATCTACAAAACAAGTTCACTGTATTGTACAAGTTAAATATCTAACAAAAGTAACATCACAAAATTCCAAGTTTAGAAACTGTTTAGTTTATTATTTGAAATAACTCACAATTACTGTATTTAATAAGTAATAATCTGATGTCATATTTGTGCACTAAATGCAATCATCCTATAGCATGTGGATAAACTACATTTACTTGTATTTCATATTCTATTTTTTTTTATGTAAAACAGATACATGTGTTTCATGAAAACTTCACATGAAAAGATCCTTTCCTTTGACACCCCTTGAATTTTTACAGAATGTTTATTTATTTTTCATTTTTTTTTTTACAGATTTATCATAAAAGATGTCTGAGATAAATTTAGGTTAGGGAAGCTTACTTGAGATCTACTATTATTCATCATTGCATCACATGACACTAGTTGTATAGCATGGCATATCAACAACAGTACAAACAAAAAAGCATCCAAAAAACAGGTTGCTGGATATATATTTTATAAATTTCAAGAGATAGAAGAAATCTTGAAAATACAAAATGAATCAAATGTACATTGGCATTTTATAAGTTAGATTAATTATTTTATTTTTCTTCTTGCAATCCTGTTTTCTTAAGAGAAAACTAAAAAACAAATGTGTTACTTTAAAGTGCATGTTTATGCATAAAATACTACATTTTCCCGACAGATATGCTTATGCATATTCTACACTTTCAAAGCACATTTTAAACGAGATACATGTCACAACTAACAGCTCTGTGTTAACTTCAACCTGCCGAAATGCATGAAAGTGGTTTCTGATTACATGGAATATGTTGGAACTTTACTGCTACCCACGGGAGTGGAGGTGCCAGGTAAGTCGTCTTCTTGAACTCCAGAACTCTGAAAATAATTGTTTTACATTAGTACATTTGTTCTTAGAAAACTGATAAAACTCTTTAATATCAAAATAACTAGTGGAGGTCAGTAAGTACATTTCATTCAATACTTTCCCTACTTTAGAATTAAATAAAATTATGTGTTAACAATGAAACATAATATATCTTTTGAAACCTGCCTGGGAGAGAGAGATGTAAAAGCTCAAAATAACAGCCATAGGTTCTAGTACTTTCCAAAAGTGGTCTCTTTTCTTTTTTTTATGCTCCTAACAAAGAAGGGGGACCACTCTTTGAAAGCACTTGTGCATTTTGGTAATAGTTTCGATTGTTACAACCACTTTATAGCGATCGACAAAGTTGGTTGTCTTAGCTGAAAAGACTGGATGAGATACAATAAGATTTTCAGTTTTTTCATTACCACAAGTTTCTCTAGGAGCACATCAAATCTTCAGTCAAGATAAACAGACCATGGGTTAGACTAACATAATACTAACAGTAATCTGGACTTCACTAAACTGTATTCAGGATTTAATCAAAAACTTTCACAGTGAAATCTTACGCATTGTATTAGGCTTATAAGGTAACATTATGATATTATTACTACTAAAAAAAACTTCCAAGAATCCCAACGTGACATTACTTTCTTTAAATCTCACATTTTGTCTTCCGAATTTTTCTCAGTCTAATATTTGCGGTACAACCTTTATTTGATCTTACGATCATTTTAGGTAAAAACCCATACAACCGAGGTAGTTCTGATCCTACCCTAGTGTGTGCTGCTGCAAAAATTATCAACTTACATTCCAAACTGAGGTGTTATTTACAGAAAGTACCCAACTTACTGTAACTACAAGCTTCTAATCCTGAAGCTTTGTATATCTCGCTGGTAAAAATATAATGGGGGCTAAGAATATCTCAAATTTTTTTAGAACACGAAGGTTTTCAAGCATTTTTTTGTATCTATCTGAATAGGAAACAAACAACTTAAAATTTTTAAATCAAGTAATCACATACTAATGACTCATAAGTTAGCAAAATCTTCAATTTATTTTATTTGGTACAATTTTGAATGATCACTCTAGAGAAGTTTCCGTTGCTAATATGCTCATTACTTTTTCTATTATAAATAATTCTGTTTAAGGGATGATCACTGAAATAATGATGTGTAATTTTAATGGTATAACATAACCTTAGCATAATCTTAATATACTTTAGTTTTAGCAGCCAATCATAATGTGAATTAATACTTTTATCCCTCATTATGTGCAGTAATATTTCAAATCTTTAATCAAAAAAAGACATCTAACAGGTTATGGGGAAAAAAAGAAAGATGCATTTAAATAAATTAACAAATTTTAAAGATGTCTCTGATGCACGCTTGAAAATACAAATACGTAAATTTACATCAATACATTACATCACTGAAATTAATTTCTTCACTATTTATATGAAGGGATTCAGATTCCTTTTTAATTTTCATCTATTTCGTGTTAATGCAACAATATACATAATCACAGCACACAAACTAATAGAGGGCCAAAAACTTTGATTCTGAAAATTAAATGTTATCAACACAGAAGATATTTAAGTGTAGAGCAAATGCCTTTTGGTCCACTCTGTATTATATTGTTACAAATACTAAGCCTAGTATATGAAAAACTTAAATAGTCTTGAAATGATTAAAGAATCATGTTATTAGTTTCAAGTCACATGAAGTTTGATAACGAAAGGTATTTTTACATTCATATAAAGATAGAAATTGAAATTCTTTTCACAAATTTTCCTAATAGTTTTACACAACATTAACATACTGAAAATACATTTAGATTTGTTTTTAGTTAAGCATAAACTTACACAATGGGCTATCTATACTGTGCTCACCATGGGTATCAAAACCTGAATTTTAGTGTTATAAGTCCGCAGATTGCTGCCGAGCTACCGGGGGACCCTACATTTTGAAATTAGTATTTTATTGACAATGGTTATTTGAGTGAACCAAAGAATTTCAATCTCGGAAAATATGCAGAAAAAGTATTTCTTAAAACACTTATTGCATCAAGCATTAGTACAGAGAAGTTGTTTGTACCTTTTGCACATATTTACGGTTGACAGCAATATCTTGATCCATCTGTTTTAGCTTTTCATCGAGTTGAATGCACTTCTTCATCTATACAACACATGACATGCAGTAATTATCCTTTCAATATACTCTCTTCTTAATTTAAAAGTACCCATTTAATAACACATTTAAAGGTATCCATTTAATAACACATTTAAAGGTACCCATTTAATAACATATTTAAAGGTACCCATTTAATAACACATTTAAAGTTACCCATTTAATAACACATTTAAAGGTATCCATTTAATAACACATGTAAAGGTATCAATTTAATAACACATGTAAAGGTACCCATTTAATAACACATTTAAAGGTACCCATTTAACAACACATTTAAAGTTACCCATTTAATAACACATTTAAAGGTGTCCATTTAATAACACATTTAAAGGTGTCCATTTAATAACACATTTAAAGGTGTCCATTTAATAACACATTTAAAGTTACCCATTTAACAACACATTTAAAGTTACCCATTTAACAACACATTTAAAGTTACCCATTTAATAACACATTTAAAGGTACCCATTTAACAACACATTTAAAGGTACCCATTTAACAACACATTTAAAGGTACCCATTTAATAACACATTTAAAGGTACCCATTTAACAACACATTTAAAGGTACCCATTTAACAACACATTTAAAGTTACCCATTTAATAACACATTTAAAGGTACCCATTTAATAACACAGGCCTGTGAATTTAAACTTCATAAAAGTTCTTTTAGTTTTAATAATGGATTTTCCATAATTCAGCTACACAGATTTCAAAAATAATATTCATTTTTTTCTATCCCATAAGGATTTTGTACAAATCGGGAATAAAAAACTCTTACTAACATCAAATTATTATTTCGTTTACCACAATTAACATTTTTTATTATTACGTTTGTTAACATAAATACAAACAAACCGAAGAAATGGGAAGAACATTGATGTCAAACAAACATACATCCTCATTCATCCTAATATTTCTTGTGAAATCTACATCTTTTAGTCTCAAAACTACATGTTGTGGTCTTTCTTTTATGTACTGCATTATGACGTTTTGTGAAAAATCTGTATGTGATGGATAAAAATGGATATACTTTTTGGATTCAGCGTACAGGAATTACTGTAGAACATGTAGAAAGTTCAAGACAATAAAACCATCGCAAGCCTGTGTTATCAAGCATGTATAAAATTTTTGAAACAGCTATTGTTTCTTAACAGTTAGGCCTGATCACTCAACATTCAAATTATGCACAAAAATAATCTTAAGTTAATACTAGCTCCATCTTTAGTTTGTTATGTAAACAATTTAATACAAATATAACAGTACTTCTAATGTTGTATTTATGAAACGTTTTTGTTTTATTTCTTAAATGCTTCAGTATTATCTTTTTGTGTGGGTTTTTGTCTACATGCAATATTTTAAAAATTTTATATTTATTTTGTGTTGTTTTGCAATCACATGTTCATTTGCATTTGATTTTCTTTGTTTTTCACGTTCCTTGCATCTAGTTGTTATTTTTCAACTATATAGGAGAAACAAGTTCGAAAATAATGACTGGATGCAAAGATGAGCCCTCTCTTAGCCATAAGCCATTAAAATTTGTACAATATATATATATATATATATATATACTAGAGACAGTGATAATTGGGTGGCCAAATAATTAGTTCTAATTTGAACTACTGTAACATAATGAGAAATGCTCCTATTGTCCCTCCGATGGGACAGCGGTATGTCTGCGAACTTGCAATGCTAAAATCTGGGGTTCGATTCCCCGCCATGGACCCAGCAGATGGCCCAATGTGGATTTGCTGAAACACACATATTTTTTGTTATAGGTTCAGTAACCATTATAATATGGATGGAAGACATTTATAGCTTTGTTTCAATTCTCAATGTTTGGCACACAAATCCAACTTACATGTGTAAAGAGGGACACTGACGTAAATAATGTCTTCTTCTTTTGCTTAATACTGTAGCTATACAGTAGAGATCAATTAATTTTGATATATTTTCAGAAAAATATCTTTTATGCATTTTCTATAATAATAGTCAAATATCATTTTAAAAGAAAAAAAAATCCTGTTTTCTTCTTGTTAAAAATACAGAGGCTTTCTGAGAGTAAATATAAAAATATTTTTGGTATCATTTTCATTGTATACTTAGGATTGGTTTAGTAAAACACAAACGATTCTTATTTTAGAATTCCTATGTATTATATTATAATGCTTAATATTTTCATTGATAATTGTTATGCATTTACATGTATCAAAACTCTATTAAATATAATAAACTGATTGTTATGAATGTTACGTTATTTTCTATCAATTATATCACTTAGAAATTTGTGGTTTGAAAGTGAAAAAAAAAATCCTGGTTATACACCTGAATGTAATAATGAAATGTATATGAACATATGATTGAACACTGGCACAAAATAAATTTAAATAATGTCAAAATATTACATTTAGACAAAACCCAAATAAAAGAAAATATTTTGTAGCACTAATAACCAAAGAATTAAAATCTAACATTAATGAAACATCAAGAGCATCTTTATATTTGTATTAAACTGTTTACATAAAATAAAAAATAAGAGAGCTAGCATCAACTTAAATAAGATTATATGATTGGTTGTAATTTGACTGTATTTTACTTTGAATGTTGTACGTGATCATGTCCAACTGTTAGGAATGAAACACTGAACCCAAATAAGTCTAATATCCCACCAATAGCTGTTTCAAGAACTATATATTCTTGACAAACATTTTCTATATTTAATGAAAGATATTAAAGGATTATTTAACAGAAGACGATTACACTGTGTATAAAACAAAAAAACTTCAGGGCTAGTCATCTTAAATCTATTAGTCAAGACTATCTATTATATAACTCCTATGATATCCAAAAAAAAACCCTAATAAATGTTCAAACAATACATTCAATTAATATTTAAAACAAAATGCTGTATTTTTCTTAAATGTATTCCCTGTAAAGAGTTTCCTAAAAAGCACCAAACTTTTAACCTGTAAAACCTTCTCATTTGTTTGTTGTATTTTAGCGGAGCCTAACCTTTAACATACGTAAGCTTTGTTTTAATCAGAAGGTCTAAAAAGGATTACGATATCTCACTAACTTGCTGAAAATACTTGTATTACACAAAGCAAACACTGAAGTTTACACTTAACATACCGATTTATAATGCATATAATACTTAAAAAAACAACTCAAGTGTTGTCTTTTACCTCTTCTTCCAATCGTTTGAACATACTTGGACTGTTGTACTTTTCAGGGCTGTCCAGAAACACAACCATCCCATCCTTCTGATTAATTGAAGCAAAGATTTCTCCATCTTCAATCTGAAAAAAAAAAAAAATTCCATATCGTAAGAAATTCAAGAAAGCCATATCACAATCCGCACTACTTTAAATGTGATTACTTGTCAGACTGTGTTTTGTTTTGTTTTCAGTTTACAAGGGGAAAAAATATCTTTATAAAAGCTTGTGCACAAACAGCACATTACCAATGTATGTACGAGATAAACTTGACAAGTCAAGTAAATGCTCAGTAGTGTGCAATACATTCACATTCATGGAAAATTTTAGGAATAAACTTCCCTTAATCCCAATAGGGTTTGTTTGTTGTGAATTTCACGAGAAGCTACATGAGGGCTATCTGCAAAACTAATAGTGGTAGTGAAATTTCTTGTTTTGTTTGTGTGAAGTTAAGTACAAGGCTACACAATGGGCTATCCGTAATCCCCAAGAGGTATATTTTAGATCTATGTTACAGTTCACTTAATGTACTTCACACCATAACAGTTGTTCATACAGTTAATTATATAAATAGTGCCTTGACCACTACTATGTTTGTCATATCCCAACTGACCAAAAGACCTCATCAGCACTGGATATGGCAGACGTAGTGTGGTTAACATACTGAGATATTATTATATAATCTTCTTTACTTTCACTCATAAGTTCTTAGAATTAATAAATACCTTTGTATTTGGGAAATTTTAATATTTTCCTTTTTACTGATAAAAATCTTCCATGCTCATATTAAGAAACAGTCTTTATTTCCAAAGTATACAACTTATACAAAAGTGTAGCATGAAATTACCAAAAGAAATTAGTTATGAAAGAGAAACGGTATTGCTAAAAAAAGTGAGAACTGTGTGAATAAAACCATGATTTCTGAGAAATTAGTGACACTTGCAATCTTGTGAAGGAAGAAGTGGTTAGGACTTAAGAGAAGAAAAACTTCTAAAAAACAGGTAAGCCGTTTTAAATAGCAAATGCCAAGATTTTTTTTTGCATGTTAAAATTTTGTTTTTAGCTTTGGATATGATGTAAAAAGCAATTTATAGATGGTATGTGATGAAATAAGTTTCAATACTTCATTAGTTAACACCAATGAACTATATGACTTCTTCTTCTTCTTCTACCATTAAATTGGGAAAATGGAGTACACATTTAGAAATAACACTTAACATATTATATATTAAACATAATCCTACTCCTCTTTATTAACACTTGAATTATTATATATTAAATATAATCCTACTCCTCTTTATTAACACTTGAATTATTATATATCAAATATAATCCTATTCCTCTTTATTAACACTTGAATTATTATATATTAAATATAATCCTACTCCTCTTTATTAACACTTGAATTATTATATATTAAATATAATCCTACTCTTTATTAATACTTGAGTTATTATATATTAAAGATAATCCTACCCCCTCTTTATTAACACTTGAATTATTATATATTAAACATAATCCTACCCCCTCTTTATTAACACTTGAATTATTATATATATTAAACATAATCCTACTCCTCCTTATTAATACTTAACGTATTGGAGAGTGTGCTAGCACCCTCTGTGTAGGGATGGCATGAACATCCGTATTAAAGCAATACAAGTAATCAAAAGCCAGATATGAAGAGCTACCTGTCATAGTTCCTCTATCTCTGGTGTATATGCCGCTTTTCAGCTATTGAGAGCATCAGAAAGTCAAAAACTGGCAAACGGCCAAAAACCAAGATTTCATATTATCGTTCATCATCATCTTTCTTCAACAGGCCTAGCACCTACCAATTTCTAGCAGCAACTATAATTTTATCATGATTTGATAGAGCAAAACAGTCTTCACGATCTTTGACTACCTATTTGATTATTATTCTATGCAAGATTTATAAAGCTTTAGAATACACTCTATAACTTAGTAAACCACACATGCCATCTCATAAAAAAAAGTCAAATAACTATAAGGAAAAAAATTTATCGCTAAATAAAAAAGTTACGTAAGCCTGGCTACTGAATTCGATAAAACGAACCAAATAAGATAGGGATGGAAGTGGACATATCACTTGATTGGCTAATGATCACATAGCAGACTAAGCTGTCTCGACTTTACATAGGGAATAAAATCCTTACATTACTGACTTCCTCACTGCAAAACAACTAGAAACAGAATTTCCAATCGTAAAATGTTACTCTATTGTGAAATAGTCATAAAAGTATTCTGAAGTTATATAACGATGAAAGCTGAGATTCTATTCAGACACCAAGCTTTTGATAGACAAAGTGGTGAAACCAGTAAATGTAGGGATTTTATTCTCCATGTAAATTTGAGACAGCTTAGTCTGCTACATGATCATTAGCCGATCAAGTGATATGTCCACTTCCATCCCTAGCTTGTTTGGTTCCTTCTTTCAAGTTCAGTAGTTAGCCCTACATAGCTTTTTTATATAGCGATAATTTTTTCCTTATATTTGTTATATATTAAACATAATCCTACTCTTCTTTATTAGCACTTGAATTATTATATATTAAAGCAATTGTTGTGGGCCTTTGCACGGGATAAATTGGTTACAGAGCCAAGACAGAGCATGTTTGAAGGATGAATGGCAGAAAAATAATTGCCAGTTGTTGACAACATAGTCTTTCTGAAAATTTTACTATTCTGTAAGAGATCTTTTAAAGTTAATTGGATTAGGGCTTGGTGGCCTCCTGTGCACTGCACAGGCTACACACCCTATATGGCCATCACTTCTCCTAGTCCTATTTATTAATACTTGACTTAGTGCATATTGAACACAACCCTACTCCTCTTTATTAATACTTGGCTTATTATATATTAAACATAATCTTAATTGGCTTATTGCACATTAAACATGACCCTAACTGTCTTTCCTAATACCCAACTTAACATTACATAAAACTCTGCCATTTTTATTAATTCCTGGTTTATTTTATTAAATATAACTATTCATTATTACTAATTTATAGGTTAATATCCATGTAATATTAGAATAATCTTCATTATTAATGATGAACTTATTACATATTTAATATTAACATAATCCTCATTAATTACACATTTGATATTAACATTACGTTGTCCTCATTATTGATGATGAGCTTACTGTACATTTATTTTCTTACTTGATTTACAATGGAGGTGTTTGTTATCTTTATAATTCTTCTTATATATGTACTTAAGGTTTAGATCTACCCCATGATATTTGTATCATGCACATATCTCATATTCATGAGTTTACTGAACGTATACATAGAATTATGTAAATTGTTGTTACCATGTGTAAAATGTATTTCTCTGCTTCTTTAGGTCCTGATAGTTGCACTCTATTAGCCATGTCTGTTAAGGAAAGAGTCAGAAAAGTCTGCAAAAAAGAAAATAGATCAAACATTTACTTTTCATAGTCTTTATCTTATTAGAAATGTGTAAACATTTTCTTATTAATTTTCATTAAGTGAAGATATGAAAAAAATTATAAATATAACTAAAAGAGTAAGTACTTGCTCACGTCAATATACACCTTCATATTTACAGTCACACTAAAAAAATAAGATCTACTTTCCATGGCAATTTCTGCAACAATTACCATAATGGCTGAAGCAATTTACCTTCACTGAGCTACGGAAATTAATTTTTTTTAACTGAGTATACAAAAAAAATTGACGAAAAAAGAAAGATACAAATTTAACTTAAACACAATTTTTTTTATTTGTCTAAACAAGATATGGTATATGTTAAACTTACCTTTGTAAGACGTTGAATATTCTTTTTATAAAGGGAAGATAAACACTGCTTAACCATGCCCATGTTACTGTCCTGATAAAAAGACAGAATTGTACATGTTATGTATTAGTGAAACATATGTTCATACTACAATCTTCATAACTTTGCACAATAATACAATACTACAGAATCATTAACTGAAGATTCTTACCTTTTACTAGCTCAACATTGTGTAAATATAATAAAATAAAAAAGAAAATACTCTTTTTCCTAATCAAATAATTCAAACTTACTAATAATACTGCAAACAATTGCGACTCAGAAATAAACAAGATTTGATTTTGTTCTTCTCTATTATCAAGTAAATAAATCTTTATTTATGATTTAGTGAGATTATTCAGGCTGAAGTAAGATTTATTACAAGTAAAATTACCCATGATTTAGCATCAACTGAAATCATCCAGAGATTTTAAAGGTTTGAATAAATTAACCACAGTTTAATAAGGTTATCAAAGATCGAGTGAGATTATCCAGGTTTAATTAAATTCTCCAGAGTTTAGGGAGATTATTGATGGTCTTATGAGACTAGTAAGGGCCTAGTAAGAAATTTAAGCATCACCAGCAAGTGTAATAATTGAGGTGTTAAAGTTCTATAATCACTGGTGCAAAGAGCAAATAATCATGGAAAGGACACTTTCAAATAAAGAAATAATCAATGTACAGAATACACAACACTGATTAGAACTAATATACTCTAACTTATGTAAGACATTTTAACACATCATTAATACTTTGCAACCATGAAGATATATGATATTTTATGCAAATGTATTTCAGAACTAATTTTTAGATAAAAATTCCAGTATATCCAAAACTGAAAATCAAAGCGTTTTGTGGATAACATATCTTTTTTAAAACGTTTACACTTGAGTAAAAAAAAAAAAGTAGAAAATTTGCTTAATCCTTTATTAATTCACTCTGCGTGTCTGTGAACACCTCCCACAATTTTGGAGCTAGCAGGACCAAGCATGGCAGGTGGACTAGAGGCTGTTTAGAGAATCCTTATCTATATGATATAGTTCCCTTACCAAAGGAGTAAAAAACGAGGGCTAAAACATGCTGGGAAGGTCACCCAGACATGATGGGTGTCTAGGAATAGGTTTTTATGAATATTGAACCTGAATCTGGAATCATATTCTGTGTTATTGGTTCTCTAAAGATACATGGGGCCCCATATGTTAAACTGTGTTCATACCCCGACTCACAAGTTAGCAGGACCCGAAGTGGCACATGTGCTCAGGTACCACAAGCAGGTAACTTATCAACAGGATTTGTTTTCAGATACAGACTCCCCTTTGTGGTTGTTATCGAAGAAACTGTGGATAATGAACAAGTTTGATTGGTACACTGGGGCCTCTATGAATCATTAAGGACTTAATTCCCCACAGTGGAGATATACATTTGTTAAAAGGACTCAAAAACCCCATAGATAATAAAAAACTGTTTATCCAATAACTAATGAAGGAAGAATAATTTATAAATCATAAGCTGTAGGGATATATATATGAATTACTTAACTCGTACACTAAATTACTGAAGATGTAGTCATTTTAACTGCACTTCAAATCCTACCATTATCCGGGATTCACTGACATTTTATACTCAGGTCACATTTTCAGAAGTTTCAACACGACAATGAAATCAAATAAATCTATTATTTCCATTAATTCACTATTTCCTAAACTTTAGTCATCCACCACCCTTTTAAATAAATATGGTTTCATGCCTACCCCATTCCTTTTTTTTTTAATTAGTAAAAGAGTGAGTTAAGTGACAAAATGTAATTCACACATACACATTAAAATGTTAGATATGTTGTAGTAATTATTTATTATTTTCATAAATGAAAATTATATAAAATTTTAAATTGCTCTCTTGACTCTACCCTAATTGCTTGTGCCCCCCCCCCCTGAAGAGATTATTTGTGCCCACTGTGGGGGGCTCCACACTTTTGGAAGTGCTGCATTAACTTAAATTTAGTGTAAACTTAGAGTTAATGGAATACTTTATCCTTTTTCAAAATTTAAATAGTTTTTTTATCAGAGAGACAAGTTTTTACGACTTAAACAGTCACATGTTTTTTGTTGTTAAAACAATACCCTTTTTAATTGTCCCTACAGTCAATATTTCCATCACATGAATGTTTTGTTGAAGAACAGATTTATGCTCAGTAATCACTAATTTTTTTGTAACTATCAAAACCTATATCTATAAAAAAAAAAGTAGAATAATATAGCTTTCATATACTTCTGACATGAAGAAGATAAAAACAAGTGAAGCAGAAACCTTACCCTTGTAAATGTGTCAGTATGCTTGTTGATCACAGTCCTAACTTCATCTGGATTGTTTGTAGTATATGCAGTTGCGAGGTCATGATAAGCTTGACTCAGTGGCTAGATATCACACAAAAGTTTATTATCTTACAGTTCAAACCTTACTTAAAGATGATGATGAGTGAGCCTAGAATTCAAACCTTAGTTAAAGATGATGATGAACATCCCTATAATTCAAACCTTAGTTAAGGATGATGATGTACATTCCTATAATTCAAACCTTAGTTAAAGATGATGATGAACATCCCTATAATTCAAACCTTAGTTAAGGATGATGATGTACATTCCTATAATTCAAACCTTAATGATGATAATGAACATCCCTATAATTCAAACCTTAGTTAAGGATGATGATGAACATCCCTATAATTCAAACCTTAGTTAAGGATGATGATGAACATCCCTATAATTCAAACCTTAGTTAAGGATGATGATGAACATCCCTATAATTCAAACCTTAGTTAAGGATGATGATGTACATTCCTATAATTCAAACCTTAGTTAAGGATGATGATGAACATCCCTATAATTCAAATCTTATTTAAGGATGATGATGAACATCCCTATAATTCAAACCTTAGTTAAGGATGATGATGTACATTCCTATAATTCAAACCTTAGTTAAGGATGATGATGAACATCCCTATAATTCAAACCTTAATGATGATAATGAACATCCCTATAATTCAAACCTTAGTTAAGGATGATGATGAATATCCCTATAATTCAAACCTTAGTTACAGATGATGATGAACATCCCTATAATTCAAACCTAAGTTTCAGGTATATTGGATGTTGTGGCTTTTTGAAAAAATTTCAATCATTTCAAAGTGACTCTGTGAAGCATGTGACCATCTCTCAGTTATGTAAACAGTATGACATATGCTTAAATGTATCCTATCACTGATGATCAAACTAAGTTGGGAACCACAAAAAAGGGTATATATCAGATGTCATTATCTGGATAAATAACCTCCTAAAAACATATAGCCTTAACCTCCCACCCCCCGGTTAGTAATGACATTTTAGAAGTTTAGACGTTATCTCCATTTCTGAGAGGTAATGCCTTGTATGAGTCATGATTGATTTCATGAGATATCATATTCCAAAATTAATACCACATATTGAAAGATACTTAGCTGACATATCAGGGGATAGCTTAACACAGAAAACAAAGTGTCACTCATCTCTAAACTCTAGGCTAATATAGTATAGAAAGATCAAAACTAGAACAATTTCTTTGCCCACATTATCATTAAAACAAGATCTACTGCACCTATCTGAACCTAACAAAGATTAAGCTTTTTGATTTTCTTTCTATCAATTACAAAAAACAAAATCCTCACCTTAATAAATCTTCCTACAACTTGAGATGCATACTTAGGTAAATTTGCAACCTGCAATGTATGGAAAATAATCAAGATAAGTAATACACAAGTTTTCTTGAATAATATATCCTATGTCGTTTTAATATCAAAGCTGATAATAACGATAAGTAGAGGTTTTGCTTTCAATACTGTTAAAATTTGATTGCATATATTAGTATTTAATGTGTTTTAATATTATCACATTTCTCCTTAATTTATAAAGGAACTTAAAGGCTGTTTGCATCCACAGAAAAATTTAATAATAAAATTTAAAACTATTTTTTCTGTATACCAACTAAATTGATTTTCAATCACTCAATGAACTGAAACTTACTCAAAGCTTCACTGATTCTCATATTTATAATGTATCCTTGTTTCTACATATTTTGCAAACTCTCTTGATCATTAACATTGACGAACATTCTAGGTATTATAACACTACTTTTATAACTTTTTAAATCTAATATCATCATATCTTGTTAGCAGCTCCCTCTAGCAAACAACTAAATTAAAACATTGAAAATATAACTTACAACAATATATTGATAAAAATATTTTCAGATATTTCAGTAGTTGATATTTTTAAATATTCAAACACACATATTTGTTGCTGACTGTTAAACGATGAAATTGATTTTACTATAAATGTTAACAGATCATTTCATAATTCCCACTATGTGAACTGTTAAACAACTTTACCTTTCCCTGAAGAATCAGAGCAACTAGAATGTACTTTTTGTATGCTTCCAACATGATGTGACTGACAGCCATGCTTGGTGTTGTGACAGCCTTAAAATAAACCAAAGTAAAATTAAATACTAGAATACGTATCACTTCACTTAGACACTTCAACGAATCAATTGTCAAATCCTCACATCTTGGTAACTAGTTTAAAATTTTAAATGAAGAAACACAAACTTAATGAAAGTAAAATGCAATAAAGATTTGATGTTGAAGCAATATGTACAATATATAAGATGAATAAGATGAGAGGTGTTTATTGTTCTCAGTATTCTCTTGTAACAAATGCAGTTATAAAAATTATAAATAAAACAGAAATATTGGTGATGAAAAAAAAACTGATCTAGTAGGTACATTTGAAATACTGACTGGAATTATTTAAAGATTAGCTTATTATTTGTAACTATATCGTATACATTTTGAATAAGCAGTAAACATCATCTTTCTCCAACTTTATTTCAAAGTGTTAGGAAATAGTTCCAAGTGATTGAACTGTATTATACCATGTCTTAATCAACACTTTCTTTTTGATGCAATAATGCTCAAATATTGTGACATAAAACTACCAATAATGATTGCTTAGACTGTGTTATATAAGATTTATTTACAAATATTATAATTTTTCTATACTGAAAATGTATTTCCGATAGGTACTTCCCTCCACTCTCAAGATTAGCTATTATCATTCATTGATGCCCTTTATATGCAAACTTTTTTTTATTACGCATGCCACACACCCCCCTATTGGAATCAAATGATTCCAACATGTCTCTCATGCAAATCATCATGTGTCACTTCTCCACCAATAGGAGAATTGTACACTAATGTGACTCCCCTATGCACCTCTACCGAAATATCACTTTGAAGTTTGGCAGACGATGGTAGCACCAGAAATTGAGTGGGGAGGAAGGGTGGGAAGTGTGAGAAGGGGCAAGTACCTATCGGAAATACATTTTCAGTATAGAAAAATTATACCTTTCAACACTATACTTCCTTCCTCTCACAAGATTAGCTAGAATCCCACATTGATTAGGAGGAGGGATTGTTGCGAAGGAAGAACAAATATACCCCCCAAAAGCTTCCGAAAGATACCTCTGTAGATGAGAGAATCAGATCTGCAGAGGGGAACAACACCACTTCTGATCCAGGTATACTCCTCGCCAATACGTGGAATGTGTAAGAAATTAGGATGGAAAATGAGAGAAACTCATCCGAGTGGGAGAGAAAGTGGTAGGAAAGTGATCCTAACCAGAGAAAGATATAGTAACTCAATCCCACAATAAGAAAAGTGGAAGAATGAGGATGCATCCCATGGTGTAGAGTAGCTAGGGCACGGCGGACCATTCTTGGTAAGTCAACTACATCCAGAACCTCCTCGCGGGGTACCAACATCCACGCGAGTATAGAATGAGGATCATACCATCTTCATCTCAAACCCAAGAACCGGGGAATTGAGAATCACTTAGATACCTGGGTATTACACAGGATTAGATCTGACCTATAGATCCAGGAATTTTACATCTGGTGTAAGAGGAAGTCTATCACATGCAATCAACTCCCGCAACCGTGAAACAGGTCAGGACCATCCAAAGGGCAATAAGATCCACTTAATAAGAGAGAATGAGGTAGAGAGCCAAGGACAGAACCAGAACAATCCCACATATCCCTGCAGCAACTCACAACACAGGAAGAGGAAATCAAGGGAGGAAGATAAACAACCCTAAACCTGTGTGAGTAGTTATGTTGATTGGTTCACCCGAAATCCAAAACCAGTTTGCGGGATATCGACATCCATGCAAGGGTAGGATGAGGGCTCCCAATCGAAAAGGTGAACTGCATTTTGACGTCTCAATCCACTGTATGGTTAATTGCAAATCGGAGGATATAACATATTCTACACTGGCAAAGCACTACTGCCCTACTCTGAACTGAATGGTTATACCCATCTTATGTGGAACCCATCCAGCAGGGTGCCTCCATGGTTGACCACCCCAATGGCTTGAAACTGGTAAGGACTCCCACATTCCACTAGAAGGAGGGCTGAGAATGTGTTGGAGAGCCTAGAGAAATGTTATAACCAGAGCCAGTGTAATAGGTGATCACAAAACACTATTATGAAAAACAGACCATACTGATTTATTCAATACAAGGCATGGCAGGGATGGGCACCCATCCCCTTCTGCTTTAGCTATGAAGTCCATGGGTGCTACGGTCTGGGGCAGGCCAATTTATGAAGCAAATACCATGAGGTTATTCATCTTCAAGGAATTTTGTGAAACACTTTATCTCATAGGTTAGCATGCAAAGCCATGGAAACAAAAGCACTAGTCAACATGGCATACAGTGCGGATTTAGAGTCAAAGAATACCTGGTCAGGCACCACTCCCCACAGTTGCACCAGTCTGAAGTATAGCTACAGGTGGAAGGTGAAAACCTGAGGAAGCCAAAACTGTGATATGTAAATAATAGGAGATGAACATGTTAGGGTTGATCCACATGCGCAATTGTAGGATTTCCTCCAAAGGCTGACAAAGACGAGAAGCAAGCGAAAAGGTGAGGTGTGGTATTTGATGAGAGGTAACACAGAACAAAGTATGGTGGGTATGAGACAAGGAAGAATAAGCCAACTAAATCAAAGGACAAACCCAATTAGTGAGGGTAAAGGGGAGAGATCTCTGGACAAAGAGGATTGCCATGGGATAAAGAGACAAGAACCACAGAAGGAAGCCATGCAGGCAATATAACACCAAAGAGCGTGCACAGGACATAGAAGTCTATCCAGATTGGGACATGAGTAGAGATGAGAAATAGAGGGAAGGAAATAGGCAAAAAGGAGGAGTTATCCTCATAAGCTGCCAAGGTTTGGGGAAGGAACGAAGGATCCAGATAAAGGAGAAGGTAGGGTGGTAAAGTGTGCATGTAATGTCAATGGCAAACAAATCAAACCATCAACACCCACAGGCCAAAAGGAGAAAAAATACACCTTAAGGGAGAGGTGAAATAAAGAACACGGGGAAATAAGCTTGAACAGAGGTAAAGTAAGGGAATGGAGGACCACATTAATATCCCAATCTGGAAGAGTAGATCACCGAATCTGGAAGGAACGGATTAATGTGGTAAGGACAGGTGAGAGAAAAACCTACGATAACAAGAAAGACAAAAGGTATCACATAAAGCTGCCCGATAACCTGAAATCAAGGTAACTGAAGACTTCCGGTCAAAAAGCCACGTGAGAAACTCAGAAACACCAGCAACAGTAGGAGAAGCAGCAGAAAATTCCCCATCCTGGGCCCATGTGAGAAAGACCTTCCACTTTCACTGATACACTTCCATGGAGGAAGGATGGATGGATTGAGCCAAATGAAAAGCTACACAATGGGAGAAACCAGATCTTCTTGCCAAGGACCAGATAAAAGCCAGGCGTGAAGACAGAGGATGTGAAGTGCGGGATGTAGAACTGGTAACTGTGGTTGACAAAGGAGGTCATGTAATAAGGGAAGTGTTACAGGAGGGAATAATTGTAATTCGAGTAAATGATGAAACCAGGGTTGAGCTGACCAGTTGGGAGCGATCAGAAGGACCTGGCACGGATAAGGAAAATTACCCGATGAAGCAATCGAATAAGAGGATATACATATAGGAATTTGTGTGATCAATCCTAGCTGAAGGTATCTATAGCCAAAGCTTGGGGATGAGGTACCAGGAACCAAAAGAGGGGTAACTGGTGATTTAGGGCAGTGGTGAATGCAATGAGAGGATGAAGGGACCACTATATCAGGTTAATCTTATTGGGGCAAGAAAGACGATCCACTATGAGGTTGAAAGCTCCCATGACATGACACACAATAAAACAAATATGTTGCTTTTGAGCCCAATATAGGAGATCCAATTTATGAAAACAGAGGTATCTCGACCAGGTGCTGCCTTGGTGATTGATATAAGCCACCACCACCACCACCACCACTGAATTGTCGGAATGGATCATTACCAGACAATGTCTGGCAATGGGAAGAAAGTGATCCAAAGCCCAAAGAATGGCTAGTAGCTGAAGGGATGTGTCCGTAAACAGATGTAAATCCGTAAGAGGAGGAGGAAACGGGACACCTGCCGATGTTTGAGTCTTGTCCAATCACACGATGATCGTCTACAAGGGAAGGAGGAAGTGTTATGTGGGCATTCAAGAGATCCGGAGCAAGGTTCCATTAATCATGCAGAGCCCACTGAAGGGAGTGCATGTGTGCACGGCCAAGGGGGATTAGCAGTGTCTGTATCCCCAAAAGCAACAGAAAGTGAGGGAACAGACAGGGTGTTGCAAACTGACAATTCTATAGAATGAAGTCAGAGAGGAATAGGTTGGGCCTGACTGAGATGAGTGTTGAAAAAGAAACCCAAATGTACAAGCTATTAGGTAGGACACAGGAAGGACTTCTCCAATTTGATCAACCAGCCTACACGAGCAGCTTTGAGAAGAAGCTGACAAGTCTGACTCGCTAACTCCTGTTCAGAATGGGCCAGAAGTAGCTAGATGTCCACGTAAAAATGGAAATGCAGCCGTGTGGCATTAAGATGAAGAGCAAAAGCTCTCACCACCCAGCAGAAAACATAAGGAGCAGAAGCCAGCTTGATGGACAAACCAAAGATAAGGATGACATCGTTCAATGATGGGAATATGCAGATAAGCATTGGAGATATCCATCTTGGTTATCCATAGATCTGGAGAAAATACCCACTGAATAGTGAGATAGGACTCCATGGTGAAACATGGGAGATAAATCGATTTTGGCAGGACATATCGATGACAGGCCTCCCATCCCCAGTCTTTTGGGGAACAACAAACAGATGAGAGTAAAACCATGGTGAATGATGTGGAACAGGTTTAATAGCCTGGTGGGTGAGGAGGTCCTGTACTACCTCTGATTGAAGCTGGCAAGTTATGGGATCCTGAGAAGAAGGGAAGGAAACAGGTACCTAGGACAAGGGAGGTGGGGCAAGAATGGATTTTCGAGGCCCTCTGACAAAACCTGAATAACCCAAACATTGGTGATGATAAGACACCACCAATAAACGAGGGCCACAAGTCGAGCTCCCACCTGACCCGAACCCACCAGGTAGTCACCGGAAATGTTGGCAGCATATCATGCATTGTTGAGAAAAACAATGAGCTGTGGCACTGAGAGAATGAGGGACAGGTAAGGGCTGGGATGGGAAACCAGAATTGCTGCCACACTCGGCTCTGACTGAGATAAATGGGCCATCAGATGGGAAAGGGTAGATTGTTGCTGGACAGATGCCACCTGAGACTCCAAGGACTCCGGGACCATATCAAAGACAAAATGTCTTAAGAACAAAGCCATATGCAAATCCCAGAAATAAGGAGCAGGTAAACGGGTTCTAGATAAAACAGCATCACAACCTAAAAGGTCCCAACAACAGATAAACCACGTTTGTAAAGCCAGAACTTTAAAAGATGACAAACGAGCCAATGTGGAGGTAAGGAGGGAGAGGATTTCTGTGAAGAGTCTCAGACAGGAGATGGATTGTGGAAAGGTAACGCAACAGAGTCATGAGGGTAAGACTAGCGGAAGATTCGGGGCCCACCCCCAAAATGGGTAAAGCTGAACCCAAGAAAGGATATGGGAAGGCTCGGCAAATTAAGGAGGTGGAAACAGGCAATCAAAGTGCAATTGCTGCCAAACAAGAAGAGATAGTTTAGTAGAGGCACGTAGAGGGAATCACATGCATCACATGAGTGTACTAGAATTTTATGTTTACCTAGGAGCTATATTTTTAGTTCATGTTTATAGATGTGAAGCTTATGAGCTTTTTTTGGTAGTTGACATAAAGTTATTGTGCTACTTCCTTGTTTATAGTTTTTTTTTAACACTGTTTCAAGAAAATATTTTCTTCATTTTTGCTTAATTAATTATATTGCCTGATTAAAGTTCATATAAGGTCATTTGGAGGGAATTTCATTTTAGATATGGGTTACAAGTTAAAAACTCTTTGTATATTCCAGTCTATCAGGTTATTGAGTTTATGAAACATTGGTGAAAGTGTGTGTAAACAAATAATTTAAACTTGTAGTTCTATGGATCTATGTACATAACTTTAAGTCTTTATATATTTTAATTAATATACTCATTTAGTTCCAATACAGTACTTCCCTCCTCTCACAAGATTAGCTATTCTCGTTCCACACACCCCCATTGGAATCAAATGATTCAAACATGCAAATCATCATGCGTCATTTCTCCACCAGTAGGAGAATATACAAAATCATTACTTGTAACCATATTTACTCTGTAGAGAAGAAATTAATCAGCAATACTTACAATTTCAAAAAAATATAGAGCTCTTTCATAATTCTTAACAGCAGCATAGATCATTCCTCCATAGTAAAAATACAGCAGGAAATATTTAGCATCATAATAACCACCCTAAACAAGGATACAAATAAGTGTAAGTTTTGTTTTAAAAATGTGTAAAGGCAGGTAAAGATTAATGGATAACAATGTTAAAAGACTAACTGTCAAACTTTTTACATTTGGACTTGAATCCTATTAGATTACTGGATGCACTTTGCAACTACACTAATTTTTGTTCTGTTTAATAAACTTAAGAAAAATTAAATCCAATAGGTATGTTATAAAATTTACACTAGACTGCAGGTATTTTTCCTCCATTATTCTTAATTAATTCCTTATGGATTAGTTTCATTGTTTCCAACAGCTTTTGACATTTAATACTGAAGGGTGAAAAGAACATTATTTCATTAACAATTAATCTATTTTAATAATCTGATAAATCTTACAAGTTTTAATAGTAGACATATAATGAGTTATTAAACTGACCTTGACAAAGTTGTTTCATGGTTATCACCCAGAGTTTACGATATAACTTGTTATTTACTGTTAAATGTCTTTCCATTAATAACAGTCCTCAAAAATAACTACAAGATTATTTTCAAGTTTACATCAAGACATAAATCTGTTCAATGCACACATTTTACTAGTATGCATAACAATGAAGATATATAATAAGGCTCAGTAGTTATAGGATGTAGAATTTAAGTATTTATATATTATAAGCATCTGTGTGATAAAGCTTTTAAAGATCCAGGAAAATTTTATATTGTGGGAAATGTCACCAAACCATTTGAGCTTTGGTGCTGATGCATTGGTTGATGGTTGTTTTGTGTTATATACATAAGATTTAGTAGTGTATACATTAACCACTAAAAAAATGTAATGATGTATTTTGGTATCTTTCGTGTACACAAGATGTATTGAATGACACGATGCATAGAAAAATTGTTTTCTGTCCATAAAAACTCCGGGTAAAGTACGTGAATCACTGAATTAATGAACTTTAAATATTTTCTGTCAATTTGAAAAAAAAATGTCTTCTGATGGTTAACACTTTATTATGTCAATTTATCATTGAAATAAAGTGTTAAGTACAAGCTGGTAGACTGAATGTCAATTTATCATTAATCAGTCTACCAGCTTCTGGTAGACTGATCAATGATAAATTGACCTGGTAGACTGATCAATGATTGTACTTAACACTTTAAGATGATCTTCAGCTTGCCAAGCTTAGACAGAGCATTTATTTTGTTGTTCTCACTTCCATATTTGATCAAAAGAATCTGTGAAGAGCTGAGTAAGCATACATTAAAATACAAGCTGATAGACTGATGAATGATAAATTGACATAATAAAGTGTTAAGTACAAGTTGGTAGACTGATCAATGATAAATTGACATAATAATTGTTAAGTACAAGTTGGTAGACTGATCAATGATAAATTGACATAATAAGCGTTAAGTACAAGCTGATAAACTGATGAATGATAAATTGACAATGAATTTAGTAAATATCTAATTCAATTTCCTTCAATATTGTGAAACCTGTTTTATCCGATTATTGTTCAAACATTTCTAACCCTTTAAATGTAGCTACGAAAGAGTACTAACGTCTATTACTTTGTTGCTCTAGTCAATCACTGCAATTCTTGCTCTGCAATAATGCCAAATAGGTAATTCCACAAAATGTGTCTTGAAGATAAGAGTGGATTGAATTTGGAAGCACAGAAAGTTATCAAAATTTCCATCCCTTTGTTACATATTAATGACTTTCTCTGTCTTTGAGTATTTGTTTACAGGTTAGAGACCATTTTCATATCAAGGTAAGGTGTTATTGCCCTTCAGGCATCAACAGATTTCTGCAAAATTACACAAGGGCTGTCTGTGCTAGCCATCCCTAATTTAGCAGTGATAGACCAGAGGGAAGGCAGTTAGTCAACACCATCCACTGCCAACTTTTACCAATGAATAGTGGGATAAACCATCGCAATATACCCCCACCCCACCCCCACAGCTGAAAGGGCAATCATGTTCAGTGTGATGGGGATTCAAATTCGTGACCCTCAGATTGCAAATTGAGCACCCTAACCACCATACCATGCCAGGCCCCACCAATAGGTTCAAACTAAGGAATCAGTTTACACAGTTTCTACTAGATAAATATTCCATGGAAATTTTCACGATGATAAACAACTGCTTATTTTCTATATACAGCTATGACAATTTGATTTTTTAATGGTATTCATATTTCATTTTTCATCAATTAAGTGGCACATCTTTAATAATAATTATAAAAAATTCACCTTTCGGATCTATTAATTTTTATTCCTAATTAAATTCCAATCAAACATCACTACCGGTATAATGTGTGTATTTTTAAAACAGACTAACAAAACTATTTTTAGTCTCAGACATTTCCTAGTGCTATTGTACATAAAAGAAGCAATGTTTACTTACCTCCTTGCTAATATCAGTAACATCTGTATCCAAAAACTGTAGTGCTGGTTTGAAACACCTGCCTACCAGACAAAGCTAGAAAAAATATGACTAACTATAATTATATTTTAAATGGTTTCAAGACTAAAAAAAGTGGTGTTATTTGTCCACTTGCTAGTAAAAGTGTTGAATATTTGGTATAATATTTCAGTTATTGATCAGTTAAAAGTTTTGTGTAAATAAACAATCAAAGTTCATGATCAGTTCTTTTCTTTATGTTTTCACACTTGAAGATGGAGTAGTTGTGTACATATCTTTTGGTTAAGAGCTATTTTTCTTATCTTAATAGCAAGAGATTCTAGCATTCTAAAGTGAAATTCTTTCCAGGAATAAATAACACAGAAAAAAAAACTGAAGTAAGCACAACATCACACTTGTTTAGGCAATAACTGGTAATAGTACTGGTGTTGTAGGTTTTAATGTTACATTGTTCTTTTAATCAACTACACAGCCTTCTAGTTGACCCAACATATCCATAGTTGCACATCTGGAACGTGAACTCAAATACCAAAATTGAGGTATTTAATGGATGTTGTTTATCTTTATAGTTGAAAAGACCTTTTAACCTAGACAACTGAATGCTAAAATCTCTTGCCATTGAGCTAAGAAAACCAGAAGATCAGCACACTGCCACTATACCTTTCATCAATTGTGAAAATTTAAAGAAAAGAACAGAACATATACATATATGTGAGCAAAATTTAGTTAAATATCAAATTTCTTATATAACAAGTTTAAAACTCAAAAGTATATGAATACCTATAACTTTACATTCTAAGTCTAAATAAAAATTACTTATTTCCAAATAAACATAAAGGTCTTTATATAGTTGTTTCAGTAAAATATAGCAGTGTTATTTGAAAAGCCAAATCATAGAGCAGTTTCTTCTTAACTTTGAGACATTGAAAACACTGATACAACTAAACTGGGAGATGAAACATTAAACCAAATGATCAATACAATATTTTACACTGATACTTGTTAATCTAAATAACCGTATACTGTTTAAATACTGTAAAATGTACAGTATAAAATATTAAGCAGTAAACAGTAGTAAAGTTTAGTTGTTCAACTAAGTAAACTTTAATGTTTCAAAAAGTTGATCAAACGTTTTTTGTCATTTCTAAAATATTAAAATTGAGGAAACCTGTGTCAGAACATTGGTGCTGATGTTTAGATCCTTCTATACAGTAAAGTTATCTAAGTTTTGTGCCATACCCATGGGTTTTTTTTTGTGTTTCTGAATTAATTAATGTTGTCCTTTATAAATATAGCTAATATATTACTACTTTTTCAGTAATTAAAAAACAAGCATGATTATTTATTCCCTCAATACCATTAAATCACAGAAATGGCAAAATTGAAATAAACTATCTTTTGCAGAGCACTTGCTAATTTTTAAACAAAACAGTCGCTATCAGCATAAGCTAAACCTGGGTAATTGAAAGCCTGATACATACAAACTGAAATTAAATTCACATTCTTTTTTGAAATTCTATATCAAAAGCAAATTGCTAAAAATTTGTTCTCATTATTAGCAAATTTCCATAATTGACTCTTAATTATTTTTTTATTTTTTGGGGCTGGAATTAAAATAGTTCTTCTGAAAATAACTCTCAATTGCAAAAAAGTCAATAAAAATTAAAAAAAATTAAATTTACATTCCATTGCAGTGTAAATAGAAATTTTACAGATTGCTTTTAAAGATAACTGTTAAAAATGTCTGTTTTTCTAGCCAGCTTCCATATTCAATTCGGGAATTGAGTGGGTAATTACATTTCATGTGGGTTCTCAAAAAGTGTCAGTTATCCACTAAAAAAATGAAATTTAGAATTTAACCTTTTTCAGTACTTTTTCAATATCAAAATCCACTAGTTGTGCTTTTGCTCTGCGATGCACACACACACGTGGTACTAAGGCGGGAAATTCCCGATTGTCATACCATGAGGAAAAGTTTTTGTAACACTGTGGGGTAAGTCCACTTGCCGCACCAAACGGCTATAAATTTCAAGTTCGATAAATCCAATGATAGCATTCAAAGGATTAGTAACACAGTTTAACCAACTAATAGAAAATACAAAGTCAAAAGAATGACTACAAACACTTGATCGTCATGAATATTTGGATGGCCATCTGAATCTCAAATATTACATTACACATAAATATAAATATCCACTTGTTGGAATTAATGTGCCAATGATAGTTAATAATCAACATCTATTTATAATATATAATTTTGTCTATAAAATTAAAAACAAACCATATCTGAGTTTACTCTGAATGAAAAACTGAATCAAAGGCCCCAGTTTTACATAAATGAAAGAAACCCATTTTAATAAACATATTAGAATCCAGTCAGAATACTTTTTGCTGGCCAATTTTGTTATCATTCATACTAAATTAAATACAACCATCAACATACACATTTGTATTTAATGCCAGTACACCAATCACTTTTAACCCACTCGCTACGGGTCTTCCTATGGTCAGGGGTCAAAGGACATGTCATCACATTTGTAGACTTAGATTCAAAATTTTATTGATCTGCTATTTTATGAATGTATGCCATTTAGTTTGGTATCACATTGTAGATCATAATTCAAATTTTAGTATTATACATTAAAAGTTTTTTTGGTGTACAAAACTTGAAGATAGCTTTTATATGTGGAAACATATGTTAGCTGAGTTCTTGCACAGATCTTAAAATACAACATTGATAAACGGAAACATCGGCACATGTAGATACGTAGACCTTGAAAGTCGAGTTGTTCAAAACTTTAAAATAGCTTTGATAACTGGACCAATTGTTGTTTGAGATGTTGCAAAGGAAATATCTGCTGAAGCTTTTCGCCAGACACTAATCATAGCAGAACCATCTGGAAAATGATATATAGGAAATAGTACAGCTTATGAAATGAGTCAGATCAACGTAGACCGGTAAGGCAATCACTGATTGGCATGTCCTTAAGCCAATCAGGAAATATCACAGACCTACTGAAGGATGTGTAGATTGTATAGAGATGAAAGGTTGACAGACCATTTGCAATAATTTAAGGCCAGTTTTATACTATTGAATACGGTAACATGAGTGCACATGCACCGCATCATTGCAGCTTCTGTAATATTAGTTAGACACGGCTAAAAGGTCAATAAAATAAAAATAATAAATATATATAGATGTATAATGTTATGAGATTTAAGCTATTTAGATTAAACATTTGTGGTTTCTTCTTATAATTTGTAATCATTCTAGCATGAAAAAAAGTGTAATTTATATTTATTTCCTAATTTTTATGTCGGTTATGAGGTCAGTCAAGCCGACAAAACCCATACAGAAACACAATAGTGAAACTAACTGATAAAATATTACAATTTTTCTAAAAAAACGTTTCATAATTACCTAGAGGTTAGTAGGAGATTATAAAGATTTTGCATGTGAAATTTGACAATTTTCTAATGCATAAAAGTATTTTTAATTTTAAAATCAAAATTACTTTGCATGTTGGATATTCAAAATGAAAAAAAATGTATGAGCAACTCATTACTTTAAAAATCTTAGACTTAATAAAAAAAATCTGATATATTGTGTGCTAAAGCCTTGTAATGTTTACTGATAATCTGCAAAATTTTGTGAAGATACAGATACTGTATTAAAAGTAACAGTATGAAAACTATAACAAGCACAAAATGGTTACAAGGTCGGTCAGTTGGACCGAGCCCATAGTGAGAGAATTAATTAAGTCTAATAGTAACAATAGCTCTTAGTCGTTTGTGAAAAAGACTATTATCAAAGTGTTGATGTTTCTTTAAACATTATCCAGCATCTTACAAGTTAGTTTATGTCACAAGAAAAAAACAAACATGAGAAAGCTACAGTCCTAATGTTATTTCACCTTCCAAATTACTTTACATTGACAGATTGAAAATAAAATAAAATAAATGGCCTGAAGAGCAATCATATTTTGAAATGAAACATGATTAACCTTACCTGGCATAAATCTGCATGTATTGATGTCAACTGAGATGGAAACAGCTGGATTTTACTGATTGCACGACATAGTAAATCAATACCTCTCATGGGCTAGACAATTAGAGTTAAGCAATAAATTTAAGTTCTCCATAATGAATCAATTAGTTTATAGAACAAATCATCAATTTTAGAAAAATAATTTACCATATTTGTTTAGCATAAGCCACTGTAAGAAAAGAGACAAGGTCATCATGTAAAATATTACATATATTATGGATTAAATATTAAATATTATTAAAAAATAATTAATAAATTAAATATTACTAGAATAACCACATCACGTATGTGAGACTTTATCATGCATGTCAACATATTAACATTCTACAAGTTTGCTTTTCACACAAATGTTTGATTTACTGTAACTATAAATAAAGTGTGTAAGGTTACCTAAGAATAACATACATTATAGTTTTATTCAGCATGTATAAGTAAAATGCTACTCTGTGACACAAGCTGACTGTGAAGGGGAAAACAGACTGGTTCAATATGACAAATAGCAGTCAACACTAGTCTAAAAGGGACTGATCTGATCCATGTGAAATACTACTTCCTGAGGTTTCAAAATATATTTTGTATGTAATTGTAAATGAGTTTAAGCATAAATATAGGTCCATTAAAAATAAAAAGGTATATGAAAACATCCTTTCCTTAGAACTAAAGATGTAACTCACTTGTTGTCTTTCAACTAAACTCTGAGTAAACAGGTGGCACAAATCAGCAACTATAAGATTAAAAAAAAACTTGTGATAAAACAGAAATACAACATCAAGACACGAGAAGTTTGTTTCACTGTAATGATCTGGTGCTTATGAACATGTGTTTTTCCTTTACCATGTCTTACTAAAACATTTAATCAATTTTTTTAACCGCTATACTCATCCTGCAATATTGTTTACAAAAGTACCAAAAATATTTCCATCAATACTACTTTAAAACAAAATTAAAACCTAAAAGGTCACTCATATTTACGTTCATGTTGATCTACTTGTAATAGTTAGAATAATAAATAGATGGACTTCGCATATCTTACTTTGTTTATATCTAGACATAATACAATGTATACTTACAAGTATTGGGGGCATAACGCACTTGTTCACCATGGCAACTAGTCAAGAACTCTTGTACCTGAGCAAACAAAACTTCAAACTCGGGGATGGTTGGAAGGTTAAGCTTCACACATCTACAAATACAAAAAAAGGAATCATACGAAGATGCCATAAAAGTTAACATTGCCTTAAAGTGCCTACTCAACATTACTGAATACAGGTAATATTAAAAAATCTAACTAAAGTGTGAAATATTTATTCAACTTTATTAACAATTAATCAAAGACAATATACTTAATAGAATTAAGCACATTTAATTTTTTTAAAAGATAAAAAAGACACATATGTATATATTTTTTTTTGGAAAAAATGAACTCAGAAATGAGAGGAAGCTGAATTTAGAAGAAAGCAGATTATTAATAGTTTGAACTGGAATGAGAATTTACTTTTTAAAAAATTCTCTTTAGAAGAAGCTGAGATTATTTATACAATACCAAAATGTAGTATTAAGACATATAATTTTTATCTTCTTACTAGACACGTCTTATAATGACTTACATTTTGTTTTATTCATTATACTTGTTATGTACTAAAGTTATGTTTATACAAAATGAATATTACAGACAGAAACTCTTTACTGGTATTCATATTACATTAACTTACAAAATAGCAAGTATTCCCAAAGAATGTTCTTGTAGGTCGAGAGTGGCTAATACATCATCCAAATGAGCACCATTTTTTAACAGTACATCTGTACTTTTACTGATGAAATCACACAGCTGCTCAAAGTTTCCTAGTTATAGAAAAATAAAACATACCATGGTCTTGAATTAAATTTATACATCACACAAAAATATGAAATCATACAAAAACTCAGTGTGCAATACATGTTCAGATGAAAGCACCTACTAATTAAAAAAACTATTTAAAACAATGGTCTAAATTTTACTGACAAGTATCTTATAATAACATCAGCAATACTAAAATACTACACTTACTGTAAACAATTACAGGTATTTCAGTAAGCAACAGATACACTGTAGTAGTAATATTTACTCCTGCAGTTACCTGATCCCCTCAATGAGAGACTCACAGATTTAGTACATGGAAGGACAAGAGTAATAATTTATCAAAGATGGAATAAAAGAGATCTGATACAGTATAGCATCAAACAAAAATAGACAATTTATTAAGATGCAGAAGGGTGAAAGAAACAATTTGACTGTTTAATGAGGACTACTGTGTTGTTATGGGTTAAAGTTAAAATAACCGAATGGACTGTATTTAGATAAAGTGAATGAATGTTAATGAGGTTAAAATGTAAACTGAAAGCAATATAAGCATAAAATAAACAACAGAGGCATGAACATGACTTCAACAGCAAAAGTTAACTGTTTCAAAGCTCATTGAAAATGCTAAGACTGTTCTCACAATCCACATGCTTTCTGTAGCTATAAGGTAGATCCACATATACAAAGTAACGTATGATACAACTACCTCATGAATTTTTTTTTAAAGATTTTTTAAAGTTCTTGTTTGGAACATGGTAAATCTGGTCAAGGTTGTGTTCTAATTCAAACCTAGGTGATACTTTCCACAGTAGGATTTGGTCAAGGAAGTTATCTATAGTTTTAATAGTTATTTGTATAAATTGCATTTTGTTATGCTGTTGAATCATAATGTATGGGTTTGTAATGGACATACAACAGCTTTCCCATATATTAGCATTTCATAATAATGTGAGAAGGCATTCATATTCTATTGGTAAAATAGTACTCTAAATATAATCATTCAAAACAAAATGAACTAATAAACATACTCTACACCAGGTGTGTATGTGGCATATAGATTCCATATTTTGTATTTACGCAGTTGTAAATTAGAGAAGTTTAATGTGTGGAAAAATTCAGACATGACTCCAGTTAAGGCAGTCTTACTTTCCTAATAGAATAATTAGCTTTCAGGTGTGGTAGAAGCCAGAACATTGAAGTATAAAAGGAGTCTAAATGAATATAAAAACTTTTTCTTCAAAATACAATCTGGATTTATATATTCTAAGTCTCTTAAAAATATTAAACCTCAATCATGCCCTTTCTCCCCTCCAATAAAAAACACATCAAAAGATTTCAATCCAGCCCATATGATAGCCCTTTCAAACCTAGAATCATTCTTGTAGCTCTTCTCTGTGTTCTGGAGAGAACTCGTCATCCTTTCTTAAATAAGATGACCGTAATTGAACATAATGTTCCAAATGAACAAAAATCAAACTTGCATTTTACAGAGTGAAAAGATAACATGCTCTGTGACTTGTACTCAGTGTTTCTATGTATACAACCTAAAATCCTGTTTGCCATCCTTCTAGCTTTACAGACTTTGTAGTAGCTATACTCAGATCATTTTTCTATTCAACTTCACCTGCAGAGCTATAGGAGTAATTAACGTTATGATGATAAATATGCATAGGCATATACTTATTCAAAGACATATTCCAAAATATTAGCCCTAGTCACCAAACAATCCAAATTTCTATGTAAAACTTCAGCATTTTTATTACAATTTGAAATATCTATTCATTTTATATCAGAGAATTTAACCAATTTACTGTTTATTTTCTATTGACGTTACTAATGAAAGTGAAAACACCAAAGGATCTATCACATAACCCTGAGGTACACCGCTTGTAACATTAATCCACTGTGATTTCATTTCATTTATAATAACCTTCTGCTTTCTATTACCCAACTATCCCTCAGTTCTTTTAATTAGGTTATCTCATGCACCCGTAAAGCTAACATTTTCCTTATCTGCACCACAGAGCTATTACTTCACATGCATCACCATGTAATTCCCTGCACAACCCTTGGACAAAGCTCTCACCCCTACACATGTTTCAATACATATTGCACCAGTTTATCATGTAACCATCACTAGACTATAGACTTCCACCAACAGAAGGACAACACAACTTGCATGCATGATAATCTGCATGAGCACTAGCACATGAACATATTCTCATTTTTAAAGTGGGGTGGGAGGGGAGTATCTATTTCAAGTACATTTTCAGGTAAGAAAAATGTTAACTCACTTCTCTGCACCACAAAGATCTAGAATTCAACATTGATAATGATAAGGGGCTGGTGCAAAGAAATTACAAAGGTGAGCTCCTTTCTGGAAGCAGTGTCAGAAAAGTTAAGCTTGTGGAATGTGACATCTACAAAGCAGAAGGATAGCCTAGTGAAGCAGCATTCAGTGGGAGATCACAACTATCTCAAGCAAAAAATACTCTTTGTCCAGTAGAAGTGATACAGCAAAAGATATTTTCAAAAGAATCTGTTACTGGGTGATAACGTGCCACTAAGGTAGGCAAAATGGCAATTTGTTCAACCATCCATTATCTCTCAGGCAGACAGTTCAGCATGAGTATATACTGTGGCTAAGATGGTAAGTTAGGCCAAATCAGATACTGGGAATAGCATCCCAAACGTGTGTCCCAAAGTGAGCCCAAGACCCATGTGGCTGAATCTAATCACAGGGAATAGCTTGGTTCATAATGTAATGGAGTGCCCTGAACTACACTACCAGTTAACAACCCAGCATTTTCTCCTAAATAAGGCGTGCACATATTCGTTCTTATTTCAGTGGGATTTCACCACCCAATGAGGAACTATCCATATCAACTTCCCCACTAGAATACATATAGGGAAGGGAGTTTACATGGGTGAGAACACCAGAGAGGAGTGTGGACCATTGTCATCAGGAGCAGTAAGTTGAAATTAGGTTCCATGCTGTAAAATGAGTTACACCTACTAAAGACAGCAGGTGCAAGCCATGTGTGCTGTTGGTTTTGTATCCCAAGTGCAGAATGGCATGGACGACATAATATATATTGAAATTTTTGAAGCAGTCTCACAGAAAATCCCATCTCAACAGTGACCACTGGGTAGGAATGCATGGAATTAACACTTTATGTATTTTCTCGATTTCAGATTCTGGATAACTATTCCTTGTTAGGCAACACTCCAGATATATTTGTACAGTTAGAACAAGGTAGTTGTGAGACCTGAAAGAGAAAGGAGAAAAATAAACTCACCAACAGAGCCACAGGGAAGAGTGGAGAATAGCAACTGGAGGGAAACAAAAGCCAGAGTAGGTCAAAACTTCCTGTAGCATAAGTAATGGGACACTAATGTGTTGGGGTTATCCACTTCCCCACCTGCAAGATTACATACAGGGGATGTCAATGGCTACAGGAAAGAGAAGCCATGAGATGACAAGTATGATTGAAGGATACATGGAAAGAAGAAATGGGTCATCACCCATAGAAAAAAAATTATACAGAAGGAGCACACAACCCAATTGGGCAAAGTGGAAGGAGATAAGTGACTAGAAGATGGGGGATCCCACAGCAAGAAAAGACACTGGCAAAGGTTCAAAAAAGCAGAAGTATGAATGAGATAACACTAGCTGTGTCAGAATGACTATGCAGGAAAGAGAACAAGTAGAAAAAAACATCCAAACACTCTCCCAAGCCCCTCAAACTCTGTGGCATTCAGGGAAGAAGATGAATTTGTCTCTGTGGTAAATAATGCATGAGGAAGCCAAGGTACAATTGAAAGACAGTTCCCAAAAGAGAAAAGGGGAAGAAATATGTCCACAGCATATAAAAGGAAGTTGAACCACACCAGATAGAGAACATCCTCAACCAGAGCTGTAGAGTCTGGGATTGGATACCAAATGATGGAAGAGAGGAGTGGAAGGGAAGTGGAAAGGCAGTGATGGGAAGATGCCCATAATGGGAGCAAATCCACTGAAAAACCAAAAAATGGAAAAATCACTCATGAGGAAGGGTCCAGGTCTAGATGAGATAGTCAATCTGCCACCATGGCCTGACAATTAAATACCTGAGAGATCAACAACTGAATGTGGTGGTCATGGGCCCCCGAAAAAAGAAAGTCCAGAGCCAGAAAAACAGAAGTCCTGGAAGAGAGTACTCTTCTGTTGGGGGTAAGGAAGAAATAATAGAGGAAGTACGTGAATAGATCATGATAAGAAAACCAGACAGATAAGATAGAAGGTAATGACAAGCCTGCAGATTATCCACAAGCTTGAAGACATAGAGACAGATGCCAGAAATGGATCAAGTGTCCAAAACTGCACCACACCAGAACAGATGCAGTGGAAAGGCATGGCCATAGTATTGATTGTTCATCAAGCATAAAGCCAACATGAGCCTGGAAACCCACATGTGTAAGTAGACTGAATTACAAGCTTTGGAGGGCTCCAAACAGATACAAGTCTGGGTAAAAATTGGGGGGGGGGAGAAATGTCCAGGGTTGTGTGGGATTGCATGAGTCACCACGACTGCAAGAGGTGAAATATATATATATATATATCTGGAGATACCTATATTAACAGGCCAAAAACCACTGATTGGGACATGTAGGAACACATTCAAGAGGAATGGGGGACTCAAGAAAAACATCCTCAAAAAATTTCATGCAGAAAATGAGGGGAGACATAAGAACCCTGGTATGAAAAACTCCATGTCACAAAGACAAAGAAATAGACTAAATCTGCCACACAAATAAAGTGAGAGAGACCCACAAGTAAATGAAATACCAAGTTAAGTTTAAATGAAGAACTGAACCAGCTACCCTAAACAAGACAACTCCAGAACGAGAAGGGAGGTCACAACAAAGGAAGCCACATTGGAAGGGGCAAAAGAGATCAAATTTCAATAGATTAGTGGAACAAAAAGTCTCAAGAATATGACCCCAGAGTAAAACCCCACTGAATCCAATGAAAAAGATTGGGCCATAGCCAATTCAAAGGGAAGGGGTGAGAACCTAATGTTTGATTATTGTGGACAAACCAAAAGAAGCAAAAGGCAGGCAGACAAATCGAGATGTGGAAAAAGTGTCTGAGACACTAAATTGGGTCATACACCACCTGGGAGAGTATCCATTATAAAGTGAGAAAGCTTGCCCATCAGGAACTGAACAAAGACAGAAGTTGGGCAAAGTATGATGGACTAATATCTGACAGAAAACCTCCTATACTCACAACAGTGATAAAAAAACAGAAATATAACTCCAGAGTAGGATTTAGGCCTTGTGCTTTAAGACTTTAAGAACATGTGACTTGACAATAATGTAATGCAGAAACATGAGTAGAACATGTTACACAGAAACAAGAATCTAGAAAAAAACTGATATTGGAACTATTTATAAAATGCTAACATATATTTTGATATGGTTATCCGAAATGAATGTATTATCTAAACTGGGGAATATAACAAAATATAATTTAAAATATAATGCTGTAAATACATCAGTGTAAACATAATGTTGTAAATAAAATATTCTAATGGATAAATGTAATTTCTTTTCTAACAATGCTAAAGAGTAATTTAAAGTTTTATTTTACAAATTTACTCTGGGCTTTAACATTTTCAGAAGTTAAATATGTAATGAAACTAAGGAGAGTGATTAACATACTACTTCTTCATAGTTTGTTACAAAACAAAAATGTAAAATAATTATGCTACTTTAAGTTTAAGGAATACATAATACAATTAAAACTAATTATAGAGTATACAACAATAACAAGACTAACATAAATTTGTTAGAAACATAGGCTTCCACGGGTAGAATAATTTGCAGCTGAAATAAAAATATAAATTTACTTAAGTAACAAATCAAAAATAAAGTAGCTTTGTACGAAAGGGGTGAACTGACCACCAACAATGTGATTGGGCTAAGTTTAAAATGGATGTGGCAGTCGGGTTTTGGAACGGCCAAAACAAACAAGATAAATATACTAAAATATTTAAATGTAGTTGTAAGCATAACACAAAACATAAAAACACCTAACATACAAGTATGGAAGAAAACGAAACAAATTCGCATGTATGATCAATTTATGAAACACAGCACAAATTAAGCCATAATATTAATACAACCATTTCAGTTTCACTGTTTCAGTCGCGAATACGATGTTTGAACCATGCCTTTTCTACTACATTGGAGAAGTAAAACTGTGAAATCAGGCCCACATTTTTTGTCTAGAAAAATATATATAAGATGTGAATAGAATTAATGATGAAATATGCTTACCTTGAGAAGAAAGGTTTCTTACATTTACTACAAACTGTTCTAAAGGAGTCGCCATTTTTAAACTTTGGAGCGACATCTAACCGTATTATATGTTTAAATATACGATACCTATGATTATAATATTTACCCTTTATTGTCACGCAATAATATACAAGTAGAAAAAATAACTTTTCTCCACTACTCCTTTCGTATCTTACTAATTAGTATCATAAAATAGCTAAAATAAAATCACTGTAAAAACACATTGTTGAAATAGAAACAGCTTTATTTTATCAAGCAACTCTTCAATCAATTGCTCTTCGTCAGGTTTAATACGAAAATAATATCATTTTGTTGTGTTAGTCTTCCAACGTTGTGTGGATTTCAATTCTTCGTAAAACAATGAGGCTGTCGTAAGCTGAATGTTCCATTGACTTGTTTAATATCAACTAATTGGCTTATATTTGTTGTCAGGAGAGGAAATCCACTTTAAACAAGAGTCCAGAGTCTTTGAGTGGATTGTTTATTATTATTAATTTTTTTTATACATAAACAATCCACTCAAAAGCTGTACCTCTGGATTTTTATTTTAATTGGCTCATAGTTTTTGACGTACTTTTTAATTAAACTAAATATTGTTCTATCGAAGAATATTTATTGTTTCAAAGATAATAATAAGATATGTCTGTGTAACCTTAAAACCACCTTGAAGTTAAACGAGTTGTGTTAAAACACCAGTTGAAAGAAAACAGTTTTAACTACATTTCGAACAAGCGTTCATTATCAGATGATTTACGTATGATATAAGCCTGTGGTTCCATAAGATACAGCGATGATTCCTAGAGCAATTGGAACTATTTTTTCAAATGATAAGACTATCTAGTGAAGGTATTTGCTCTAAACGTATTAATAAACTTGTTTTCTTCCTTCTATTTTTTTCTGTTTTGTTTTCTGAGCACACTTTCTTCGCCCTCCAATATTTCTTACCTTCTTTTCAAAAACGCATTTTACGGCAACGCAGGTCACGTGACGCTGGTAACACGTCATTGACTTCTAGAAATATCCTGTTCTTTCATGAATGCTCTAGCGTTTACTAGATATGCGTTAGTCTAGTATATATAAGACGGTCACAACGTGACGGAACAATGTGTGTGTTACGTCTCCGTTTGTTAATTGATTTTCCGTAAATTTGTTCCGACGAAACTTTAGCGACACAAGTCCTTTCTTAAATAAAACTAG